GACCCACCTCACCCAGCGGGGGCGAGGACCGCGGGTCGCACTCCTCGGTCTGGGAGGCTGACCCTGCAGCCTCAGCGTCTCGCCCTGACTCTGAAACTTCTGGGCGAGGAGGAACCTGCCGCCCGCCCGCCCCCTCGCGCACAGGATTCGCTCTTGAACTCCGCCGCGCCCGGGGTCCACCTTGCGCCGCCCTGAGCGCGGGCGTGGAGCAGCCAGCTGCCGGGAAACCCGATGAACTCTCCAGAAAGGGCGTGACGGAGGGTCCAGCCGCCACGCTCGGCCCAGGCGCAGGGGTCCCCTTGGAGGAGCGTGGAGCTCGGGGCAGCGGAGCGCCGCAAGTGGTGGAGGATGACCAAGAGGCCTCAGGGGACCTCCGCGCAGTAATGCCAACATGTAAGTAAGCCTCCCTTCTCAGCCCTGAATTCCTTCACACCTTCTCTGCTCCCCCCCCCTTCCCACTCTGCTAACTAAATGATTTTGTGAAGGACTTCAGCTTCATTGACATAATAAACCGGTTTGTCTTCACTTTGCCCCTCGGGGAACTGTGGAGTGAGCTTTGCCAAACGGAGCTGTGACTTGTGTGTGCGGCTTTCTCCCCAGCAAGAGGTGAACCTCACATTTGGGCGGCGGAAAGCATAATAAAAAGGGCAGGGTTTCAAGAATGGGGAAAACGTGTTTTCGATTCAAATTAAACAAGGAGTAACCAGCACCGACGGGCGATCAGTCCTGGGCCCCCCGGGCCCTGCCATGCCAGGGTGCTACAGGATCAACACCTGGGGACTTGGAAGGTACTGGAATTCCCAGAAAATGTTGATTTTTGCACCTCGTCACCATTGACTGTAGAACTTATTCTTGGATCTCTGGGGGTATTTGAATAGTGTTTTTGCTTTCTTTTTATTCCTTAAGAAAATGTTCTCAGTGTGCTTTGGGGTTTAAAAATAATTAATGAATATGTCATGTTATGTGATAGAGACGTCCTATAGAATTGTAAGTGGGGTCTGTGGGAACTGAAACTGTTAGAGAAACCTAAAAGGCTGAGCTTCTATGGAACTGTCATCCAAGCGGTGAGGTGCCTTGGAGGACCCTGGGAAAGGGTGGCTGAGCACCACTGCCTGCCTTCCAGAATGGAAAAACGAAAATTTTTCTCAGAAGAGCCAAGCTTATTTTTGTGGCCAACTAGGCAGTTACTTTTCCTTGTAATATGTAATTTTCCTTCTGGAGTTTTATTTGTTCTTGGGCAAGCACCCGGACAGACATTTCACCCACTTCTAGTAAGTAAGGTACGAGTTTCTAGAAATTGATAATCACTTTATCTCCACCAACTACTGGATCCTAATTCAGTTCCACTTGAGCTTCCTTTCAGTTTAGTGCTTTAGGAAAAGGCTTTTCCCTCCTTCCCAGCACTCTCCCCTCGCCCCCTCCCCCAGCACACGTTTTTAAAGGAGGAGAAAGCCTAGTACCAACAAGCGCTCTGCTGGTCTGTTCTTGGTAGTGTGCATTGTAATTAGAAACGAACCACTTAGTTTTATTAATTCCACACCTGTGAGTTTTCAAGCTTCATTGATGCCAGTGGAATCTGTAAGGTATAATTCAAAAGAATTTATTTTGGAATACAGCCAATAGTCTAACATAAGACTTTTTCTCATATAGGCAACTTACTTTTGAATGAATATGAGTTTGTTTTCAACTTCAGTTTTCCCTGAAAATATTCTAGGGTTTTTAACAGCAGATGTTTATCTAGTTTTCTTTCAGCCTTCCTAGATATTGATAGTTTATGGGGGAAAAGCATATTACACTTAAAAAGAATACAACTTTTAAAATAAAGGATGTGAGACTGATCAACAGGTAATATAAAATTATTGATAATGAAATTAAGTTATATAATTTATTTGAATGCTATGTGGTTAAAATGCAGATTTTGTTAGAATGAAAGCATTAATATTCAATGACAACGTTTGTGTTTCTTTATTGAGGTATTTCGACTGAAAGTTTTTCTATTTCCAGATTGTAATTAATTTTTATTTTGTTATTTATAATTAATGTGGAACAGTTTAAGAAGTTATGATACTTTTTAGATATTGGCATGTTATGTGGAAATAATGCCAACCTTTACAATGTAAATAGTTCTACTCTCTTGTTGAAAATGGAGGACATAATCTTATTATCTTTTAAATTTTAGTAGCTTCAACTACACAAACTATTGAAATGTATATTCTGTCCATTCCTTTAAGAGAAAGAATATTTGTATATTATTGCACTCAAATACTGAGATTATACATTTAAAATATGTTTAGGAGTTTTAGTGACTATGTATTTTTTCATATCCTGAGACACTGAATAGATTTAGCAAACTTGCATTAGTTGGTCTCAAGCTACATGAAGCTACTGTTCCATTTATGGCTTATATAAATTACATGGCATTGTGCTTTTCCAGGGTGAATGGTGAATGAGGCTATTGTCTGTTGGCTTATGGGAAATATTAGAAGCCTGTAGTTTTACTGCCTAACTGGACACGTCACTCTGATTTCTGGAAATAATGATTTGAAAGAGATTCAGTTTATATATTAAAAATAAACTGACAAATGCTTCTTTAAAACTGACCACTTTTATAACTGCCTGTGTATCTTGCAGTGTTTATATTTCTAATGCGATGATTAAAAGTTTAAAGAAACTATTTAGAATTTAGACTAAATAAAGACTCTTTAAAGTGTGTGGTATACATGGGCAAAAACTTTGTCTTTCCATGTTCATTTCTAATTGAATGACATTATGTTATCTACATAAGATGACATTAAGGGTATACTAGTTGGCTGGAGTCATAATTTTTAAAGGATATATCAGTTGCAACTAAAAGCAGTAAAACTTGAGCGTGGCTTCCTGAGTACCATCTTTTATACTTTTAAAAACATTACTCAGAATCAAATGATTTAGGAGGTCTTAAAACCTTTAAGATTAATTTAAAACATAGCAAATAAGAAAATAAGACAAAGGCTTAACATTTAACATAAAATCGTTTTTTTTTTAAAAAAATCACAAGTCAGGGAAATATTTACATTGTAATAGAAAAGTATACACATGACTTGAACATGCCAATCCAAATAAAGCAAATCCAAATGACACACTACTTCTTCTATCAAACTTACAATGACTAAAGCAATAATAACAGAAATGAGTTGTCATGAAATAAAAACACTGATACACATCAGTGTGTGCATTTAACTCTCTCAGAAATAATTTTAAATCTACAAGAAGGCTGCAAGAATACAAATAATACAAGGAATATGCCTGTATACCCTTTACATAGGACCATCTATTATAAATATTGACTCAAATTGTTTTATTACTCTCTTCTTATAAGAGGTAATGTTTTTCAGAATCAATTGAGAGTAAGTTGTATACGACAGAGCTCCCAGGTCTGCCTTTTTAATTGAAAATGTGAAGATATTTATAGATTCAAATATAGTTGTAGACAAAAATGCATAAAGATTCCACATACCTTTTACCCAGGATACCCATTAAGAAGATTTTGTAAAACTAGAGTACAAAATCAGAATCAGTCTACCTCTCTTGCCTCCAATTTCCTGTTTTACCTGTATTCATCTGGTGTATATGAATGTAATTCTCTAGGTTGACTTAATCTCACCTATCGTATAAGTCAATTATGCATTTTACTGTTAAATAATGTTTAAGATTTGTGAAGATTTTGAGAATCAAGCCAGTGTTTTTGAAGTGGGAGTGAACCCAACATCCTCAAAGGACTTACCCTGAAAGTAGAATGGCACTTTTTTTCTTTTTCTTTCCTCCCTCCCTCTCTCTCTCTCTCTCTCTCTCTCTCTTACTTTCTTTCCTCCTCCTCCTCCTCCTCCTCCTCCTCCTTTTTTTTTGATACATTGCTTATGCTCAGGAACATGATATCTAACCAGAACAAAAAATACCATTGTGAACAGACTTGAATAAACTAAATTGCTATTCTTTTCACTCTTGAAGAATGAAGGTATTCTCTGCCACTCACTCAACCCCTTTTATGAAAAGATTTGCCAGAGAAACACAGTAGGGATATGGGCAAGGAAGTGATTCCTATTGCTGGTGATAATAAAATTAGTACTATATCAATTTTTCTACTGACTTCAAAATTTCTTCACTAATTTCTCTTTAATTTGTGACTTTGGGGGAAACCACTAAGAGTAGAGAAATGCAAGATGGTAGGTTTCTTAGATTATTTCAGTGATGAATTTGGATGAAATTGTGCCTTCAAGAGGGTTATACTTAGATTTAAATTAATTGCTGTAAATGGTTATCTTTTAAAGCTTTCTGAAACAGGACCCAAGCATGTTGTGTTTTGTAGCCTATACATATTGAAAAGTGGAACAAGTCTGCAATACAGGTAGAGGAGCTGAGTAGATTCCAGGTAACACAAAGAGTTTTGGACTGTGTCACCACTGATTCTGTGATCTTGGGCACATAGTTTAGTATCTTAATTTTCTCACCTATGAGATGATATATTATATAATTTTAAGATTCCTTTCAGATTATCCAAATCTACTGCTCTCTTTTACTTAACAGTGTTCCTGCTTTCCTCCACAGAACTTTGAGGCCACAATAAAAATGATACAATCATGTATACTTTTTTTTTATAGTTCCTATTGAGAACCTTAGTAACCCAGGATTTTCCACTCTTGTGAGAAAGTTGTTTAAATCTCAGGGATGTGTGTTGGCCAAGTGATCCCTTGAGAAGACCCATAGTGCTTTCCTTCCTCTGTTCTATTCTTACTTTATTTTTTTTTTCTGTTCTTCAGTAAACAGTAAAATGGATGAAAGTTGGTGGGTCATGTGGTGCATGTCTGGTTACAATTGCTTTCTTGGTCCTGGGCTTCTTTTCTGTCTGAGTTGACGGAGTCTTGAGCAGCCCTGGAATATATCAAGCCTTGGTCATCAGTTGAAGCCATTACCTGATAGGATTTCAGAAAGCTTTGGTAAAACCAGGACTGGATATGGAATCCCTATATGTCAGAACCTTTTATAGCAAAGGAAAAGTTACATGAAAACATTATAAATAAAACTCTATTGAGAAGCCAAGCTCAGGAGCATGATTCCCTGAACGTTAGCTAGACCATGTGGGAACTATAAAGACATCATTCACATATTGATAAAGGAGAATTGTCATGTGTTATGAAGAGGAAGAAGCTCGGAGTTAGTTCTCTCGGTCTGATACTTCTCTCTGTTAATATCTGGAAGGCTGGCAGCCAGGCTTGATTGGTCTCCCCTTTTATTTTACTGGATGTCAGTTTCTTCCTCTGTGAAATGAGGTTAGACTTCAGCTCTAAATTTCTTTGAATATATAATTGTACTTTTGTTTTAGAAGCCTGTTTATTCATTCACAGCATGAATGGGGAACACCTTATTCATCCAGCATCAATAGAAAACAGACTATTCTTCCAAATATGTGAGGTTTCTATGAGACAGGACTATAGCCTACTCTTTTACAAGCCCCGAATAAATGCATGAACTGTTGTCTCCAGTTCTTTTTGGTGGGTAATTTGGTAGCCTATTTACCAGATGAGGAAAAGAGCTGAGAGTTTAAGAACCTGCCCCCAAACCACAAGTTAACAGAGGCACCAGGATGTAAGTCTGTGGTGCTCCAAAGTCCACATCTAATATTACTGACTTACTAAAGCATGATTCTCATTTGCAGCAGCTGATTTTAGCTTCAGATATTTTGGGTGAATGAATTCAAAAACATTATCATCTTCCATACAAAATAGTCCCTTCAGATCTTAACCTTGTCCTAGCTTAGAATTTTCAACAATAAAGCTGCCTGTTGCTGAAAATTCAGGTTTAGTAAATATAAAAATCTGACATGAGATTCCGACACTGTCTTCCTAGCAGACATGAATAACCTATTTGAGTTTGGTTCCCAGGTGATTCTAGAAGTAGTTATAAAATAGTTGATTGGTGTTGGCTGACAGGATTAAGCCTGTTGTCCATTCTTGTTTAAATTGGTTCCTTGGCTTTCACTGTAAACAGAATATCACACTTATGTTAGAGTCTGGGATGGTGGTGACAATAGCTAATATTTACTGAACACTCACTGAGTGTCAAGACATTATCTTATTTGATCATCTCAATAACTCTTTGGACTAGGGATATTGCTGTTCCTTATTTTTACTGATGAAATAAAGGAAGTTCAAGTGATAAAGTAAATGTTTCAAGGATTGTACAGTTCCTAAATGAAGAGCCCAGGTCTCTCTGACTCTAATGTTTGTTCTGTTTGCTATGAGGTAGCCTTTGCTTCAGTTAAAAAATGGTGGCATGAGGCAAGTGCAGGAATCACTTGATATGTGCTTTGCTCATTCAAGTATTTCTCCTCTAGTGCTTTTCGGGTTTTGTGTTACTATATAGGTTTTACCCAGGTAAGCAATCTTCAGACTTTAAGGAAGGTTTCTCAGTGGCCCTTAAGTATCTTTTTTTTGGGGGGGGTGTGGCGGGGGTACTGGGGCACTCAACCACTGAGCCACATCCTCAGCCCTTTTTTGTATTATGTTTAGAGACAGGGTCTTACTGAGTTGTTTAGCACCTTGCTTTTGCTGAGATTGGGTTTGAACTCTCTATCCTCCTAACTCAGCCTCCTGACCCTCAAGTATTTTTATAGTTTACTCTTCATTTTAGAAATGACTGTCAGTTACCTCTATAGGCAAACTAGCTTTCTCTTCCAGGAATTTAAGAGCTGGAGATTTTATACTGCTGTTTCACTACCTGAGTGCCTCCTCATATCTCTCCTGCTCATCAACCCCTGTGTGGTCCCTTACTGGTAACTGGATTTTGGACTCACTGCCCCCTTACTTGGTTTGCCTATTTTGAAGGTGCTGAATCAATGAAATACATCATACTACTATTTTGAGCAAAGATTATATGGATGTTTCTTTCTAAAGTTTTATTAAATATGACTATAAATTTAAGCTGAGACCATTATGCACAAGGAGTATTTGAGAGTTACTACACAGCTCCCCTCTATATGTCATTTACTAGTGTCTGTAATATTTGGCATTTTCTAGCCATTTAAAAACATCAGTATCTATTATTATAATAAGATATCAATCTTTTTCAAATATTAATGCTTCACTGCCTCATTTTAGGGAAAGACCTTAATCAATTTAATCTTACTTAAATACCTATAAAGCAGAACATGCTATAAAATGAAAGTGTTTCCTTACAGTTGACATTTTGGGGAGATTATGGAAGAGATCTATATAAACATCCTCTTGCTACCTAGATGGGTGTGCAATTGGGGAGGCAGAATAGACTGAAACTGAAATTCTTTTCTTTTTTTTTTAAATAATGATTTTTCCTGAATCATTTCTTTACTCATCTTCACCCAGAAATCACCTAGTGTGTGTGTGTGTGTGTGTGTGTGTGTGTGTGTGTGTGTGTGTTCTGATTAGGCGAATGTCATCAAGTGTCAAATAAAATGCATAGATTTTTTTTTCTTTTGCCACTTTGAAGAAGGTGATTAGGATGTTGTCATCATTGAAATTTCTTCTTGGGCTGGGTGTGTGGTTAGGGGGTAGAGCACTTGTGTAGCACACACCAGCTGCTCGGTTTGATCCCCAGCATACATCAGTCAATCCATCAATATAAATATACTCCTTCTTTATTCGAAAGCAAGTCTGGAAAAGGTTTCTGTTCTTTCCAGTCGCTGCTGGAGCCCACCTTATGACCTTGACATAATGAAGGTACAGTGTCGGATGACGCCTTTCTTTCTTTTGCAGGATGTTTCACTCAAGTAGAATGTGGAGCTGCCATTGGAAATGGAAGCTGTGTCCCCTCTCTCACCTTCTCTTCTTGGCCCTGTGTGTCATTTGCGGTCCTCACTCAGGTAAGACTCTCTGAAGCCTGAAGTGAATGATGACTTTGTTGTCCTCCGTACCAGTGTGCTGCTTAACTTTGTCCCTTGTCTTTTCTTCTGTTTCTGTTCTTTCAGGGTTTTTGTTTTGTTTTGTTTTGTTTTTTTGTCTGCCTCTGGTCTCAAGCCTCTCTGAATTCTGTGCAAATACTGTTACTTTGATCATTGTTTTGTTTTCTAATGAGTTTCTTTCTTTGCCATCCTTCTTCTCGTTTTATTTATTTATTTGGCCCATATTGAGTGATGAGATAACTCCCCAACTGACATTAAAAAAGTTGAGTTGTTTCTCCTACTATTGAATAAATATACAGTGCTTAGTTCTTTTTTCAAGTTTTCATATAGTTATTTGTGGCAAAGTGCAGATTTTGCTAGTTTCATTCATCCTGATTTTATTAGCATGTTATAATATGAAATAGGAATTTGAAATGGTTTTTCAGATGACATGGTTTATTTAGTTTAGTTGGAATTAAAAAGTTAGTTTTAATTATAGTGTTTTTAGGATTAAAGTGTCTACTTTTGTAATTATAGTTTTTTTTTCCTGATCTTTGAAATAAGATCCTTTGGCTGTTGAAAAGTAAGTTTTCCATAAACAGCTAATTATAAAACAAGTCAATCAGACTGAGGGATGTGAATAATTAAAAGAAAATTGTTCATTTAGTTCTGCCACTGAACAAACTATATTTCTCTTCAATCTATTTGGCTTTACTCTTTATTTTCTCTTGATTTATTTATTCAGTTTACTATATTCTCTTAGAAAACCACTATTCTTGAAGTCCTATGTATTTGCCACTTAGAATTAATAATATTTCTAAATTTCATATTTATAATGCATCTATGCTATTACAAATAATACACTTAAAGAATCATAGGAATGGATTATCTGCTAAAATTGCTTACTCTTTGATCACTTATTTAATATGTAGATGCGTTTTTTTCAAGCCACAGATTATTTTAAGATTTTCAGTTCTTACTTGGAAAATCCCTCGCACTTGTGTAAAGTCTCCAAAGCAAAATTGATCATTGAATGAATTTTTGTGTGTATTTATTAGTATTTTATTATGAAGTTTCTCTTTCTGTTCCTGTCATTGACAGAAGAGGAAAGACACTTGTAAAGAGACCTGAAAATTAAACATAGCTTCAGTTTTGTGATGCAGTGTTGAAATATTCTTAACTTTCAAAGTGATCCTTCAAGAACCAGTTACACATGTATGTAAGATAAATTATGAGATGAAAATTAGTTGAGATCTATTTACTTTCATTTCTGTTAGGTCATGCGTTTGTAAAATTTCCAGGCTTCTTTAAACCAAAGGACCTCAATTGGGACTTTATGTTTTAGATGTCAACATTTTAACTGATACACGCATATTTCCAAATTTCAGTCTTTTGAATAAATGAAAAGAAACGTGCATTTTTAGGCAAATTAAAAGGAATGAACTAGGCTGGGACTAGGCTAAGGAGGCAAGAGAAGTCTTCAGGGTGTATAAGTAAGGAGGCAACCATCTCAGGGGCTTGGGAATAAATTACTCTCTCACTGAAGGTTTTCTTTCCTTTTAAACATTTTTTCACTGATATTTCTTGTGTGCATCAAATGAATTTTTTGACAGTCTCTGTGTTCACTTGTGAAGCCACAACATTTTCTGTGTCTCTCAACTCATGATCCACTTAAAATGCTGCCACCTCACACCTAAATAACTGAATTCCCAAAAATATTTTAGAGGTTATTGATTGGCATTTAAAATTTTATTTGTTCTTTTTAGATATACATGATGGTAGAATGTATTTTGGCATATTATACATACATGGGGTATAATTTATTCTAATTAGGATCCTATTCTGTGGTTGCACATGATGTGAAGCAACCTTGGTTGTATATTCAAATACAGGCCTAGGAAGGTTATGTCCAATTAATTCTATTGTTCTTCCTATTCCCCATTCTTGTCCCTTCCCTTTATTCCCCTAATTACTATTGGCATTTTAATATGAAGGTTTTGTTTCACATGATAACTCAACAATAGGCTTCCTAAAATGAACTCTGTCACAATTCATTTAAAATAGTACATATGACAACTTAAGATAACGCATAATTTTTAAAGCCTTACCTTTTGCACAAATCATAGTTTAATAATATATCTTTAAAGAATAATTAGTTCTTAACTGTGATGTTCCAGCTCCACATACACACTGTTGATTTTTTTATTCTCTAATGACCCCTACATGATCTCACTCAGGTCTAGGGTCCTTAAAGGGTACCTGGATTCCAGTGTCTCCTAAGTCCTTATCTTCAGTCAGCTCCTGCCTGGGCTTTGAAGTTACCTCCCTAGTGCTGATGCTCATCTACCCTGGATATGTAATGGTCTCGCACTCACATATGCAGACAGTTTTCTTGGCTCCACCTCCTTGCCCCAAATCTGCTCCTCCCTCCATCTTTATATCCCCTTGTGCTCTCCTTCTGCTTTCTTCCACCCTGTTTTCTAGACACAGAGGCCTTTCTGTTCCTTGGCCATGCCTCCGCAGTATCCTCTTGTTCCTAACCCCTACATATTCTTTTCTCCCTAAGAACATGTGTGGTTCTTTTGACACTCTGATCTCAATTTCATTTTCCTTATCTTGGATGACCCTTCCCATCCCACTCCCATGGCGTCACACTGTAGAGTGGTAATCTAGGTGGATTTTGCTGTTTTCTTGATTGTTAATGCTTTGCTAATTTGATTATGACAGCTAGGTTAGAAGATTCACAAGTCTCATTTGATTATTCAGATTGACCAAAAGTTAAAATCTTATAGCTTAGTTTTGATAACACTCATGGTTTCATTCATGTAACAGGATTCCAATATCAAGTCTCCTTTTAGGTAAGTTAGTATTGTATTTTCATGGAACACTAACCAAGCAAATAACTCACAAGGTTTTTTGCCTCCAGGGATTAAAAAAAAAAAAAAAAACGGAAAGATAATTTACTTTCTCTTGATCCATGACAAATGTAACTTTTAATAAGAATTATAACAAAATAACAATTGGATATTTATACTGGTCCCACAGAAATGCAAATTAAAACAACAAAATGTGATTGTTTGTTTACCCACTAGCTTGACAACATTGGAAAGATTGATACCATCCAGGATGGCTGAAGCCATTGAGCAAAGGATGTATACTGACACTGTTGGCATTGTCTTAGAGAATAATTGGATGTGTCTTAAAAGTTAGGAATGTGTACACTGTTTGATATAGCACTCCCACATGTAGGCTTCAATCTTATAAAAATAAAATGTTCAGAAATATTTTAATTGTAGCATTGTAATAGCAACAATTATAGAATACTAATTATTCACTAAAAGAATGGTTATATAAATTATTTTACTTTCACATCATGAATACTGTGCAGCCCTTCAGAACAAAACGATAAAAATGTACACACTGGCTTAGAAAGTTGTCCGTTACGATAAAGTCAAGTTGAAAAGCAAAAAATAGAACAATGTGAGATTATTCAAGATTTGTAATAGACTGTATTATAAAACTGGGATACATTGTGTACATGTTTGTATAAAACTATCTAAACACAATAAAACATGGGATGATGCACAATCAGGTGTTTCAGAAGAGTTATCTCAAGGACATAGATTAGAGTGAGAAGGGAGAAGAAATGGAACTTTATGTACCTCTGAATTTTTTGCCTTGGTACAATGAGCATTTATTACTTTAGCAATTTGAAAAAAAAAGAAAACCTGATGAATTCTTTGGTTTAAAAAAAAATCCACTAAATAAATAACTAAATAAAAGACCAGAGAATCCATTGAAATGCATGAGAATATTAATTTTCGGTGAGTTCACTTAACTGTTACTCTCTTTCTTCACTTGATAAGAATCTTGAAAAGATGTTTCAAATAATAACCCCTTTTCACTCCATGACTCTGAAGATGAAGGCTATCCCAATCAGACTTCTGAGTGGGAAACAAAGGGGCAAGAGCCAGTGAATTCCTAAGCAACCAGGAGCCTGTTTCCACCCAGATGGCCTTAGTCATGAGCACCGAGGGAGGAGTCTCTCTTCTCTCCTGAAAATCAGTGACATCAGCAGATTGTCTCAAGGCCCAGTGTTATTTTGCTATCTAGGAGACATCAGAGGCTAAATGGGGAAGTGATTCTGAAAGTACAGTCTGGCCTGAAGTAGCTGTTTCTAGCCCCGAGCACAGCATGGTTTTAGGAGGCAGGCAGTTGGGTGGGAGGAATCTTGTGCTTTTTTTGTCTTAAGCTCTCTCATGGTCATAGAATGAGTGATTATATTCTAGTATCATTTCCATTTAAATATTAAATAGGCGCTGCACACATATTTTTATATTTAATTAAAGGGCTTTCAGATATCCAGGAAAATTAACCCTTCATAGATCTGCAACTTGTTTTTTACCTATTGTAGTATTAGTGTATCCTTAAAATCACTAAATGGATCTGAAAAGTCAAAATTAAGACTATAATTGTGCCACTTATTTCACAGACAGTGATAAATGTGTGTTTGAATGTATGTGTGAATGTTTTGATTAGGGTATTTCAAATTACTGTCTGAAGCTTTCACCCAAAATGGACCATTTACCCATTCTAGACCTCAATTTCAAAGAACTGATGTGATAGACAAGTAAAGCTTAAAAAGTTGTATACAGGTATGTCCAAATGTTTCTTTGAGGAATTTAATTTCCTTCTTGTCCCATTGGATGATCTTAATTTGGTATATTTAAGTATGAATTCCTACACATGAGTCAAAGTCAATTTCCCTAAACATGGAATGGGGTGACTCACTTTGTCACCACACTGACAATCTCAACTGACCAACCACTGTGATGGGGACACTAGTAAAACTGAAACCACTTAGAAAATCTGAAGAAGAGAAGGATGTCATCATAGTCCTCTTTTGAGGTCAGATTGCACTTGCCTCTAGGCATGGCTTTCATAATTTCCAGAGCATTGGTGACCACAGAATGTCTAGACCA